TTCTCAAGCAGATTTTTTTAACTACAATGACAAATGCCCTTTTTTTTTTATTAATTTACAATGTAAATAGAAATTCAGTAATATTGCTCATAAAATATAATAACAAAAGTGAAAGAACATGTAATAGGTGAAGACGTAACCCACATTATATGTACAACCAAAATCTCAAATATTTCTTACAATTTACTCTTTATGTCCACAGTGTTAATTATGTGAAACTTAGCAAAGACTGCATGTACTTTATGCTGTTTTTTTTTTTTTTTTTTTTTTGTTTTTTTTTTTTGTTTTTTTTTGTTTTTTTTTTTTTTTGCATAATCATGCAGTATAAATGTAACTGAACTTTGCCGATTTTTTCTCTATTTATTTAAAGTAAGTTTATCGGTTCTCGCCCAGTATTTCATTACTAGTGAAAAAAAAGAATCTCTTTGATATCAGGGCCTGCAAATGAGTTCACAATTTTATTTCAGTTGATGAAGATCGAGGTACATCGCAAATCCATCATGTAAAAAATTTGATTCAGATATAAACAATGGGGACGTTTCAAAAAATAAAATGTTTCTGTGAAGCAAACTTGTTCAATAACTGAAATAACCGATGTGTACCATTACCCTAGCCTCGCTTCTGTAGGATTTGGATGACTTTGGTGTATAACATTTAAAGTATCTCCAATCATCCCGGTGTTAAGGGAGATTTTGCAACCTATCTGGTGTCAATAAACATGTCGCCATTAATTTCCATCTATCTATAACCTCCATTTTATATTGAATCTATAGCGGTTTATTCCACTTTGCTGTCGATTCGATTTACAGGAGAAGCTAAGATGAACATATTGGCACCGACAGACAGAGACATTTTTGTGCTCCCTGTGATACATCATCCTGTGGTAATGACTGAAGAGTCTGAGGGCAATGTGGAGAGCCTCCCTCAGAGATCGGTCGATATCAATCTGTCCTTCTCCTGATGACCATTCCGCCGAAGAGATTCTCCGTACGTGGCATGACAACGCTGTCTTGCTTCTTCAGAGTCCTTATGAATATTAATGAAGCTTATTTTTCGTTACTTTCCACATCTTTACTTTTTCGAAAATACGGCTTATAATCAGAAGCTGACCATCAGGCCCTGCTGTATTAGCTTCTCGATTTATTCATTACTGGACAAAAGGGATTATGTAAATGACCTTTTAGGAAAATCATTTCTAGCCTAAGACAGCAAAAATTGGAGGAGTGGCAATCTTAACCTGCCATTTTGTGATTGGGAACTCTTCTGCGAGTTCTCAAGCCGTGACTGCTGGCATCTATTGTTAGCTCGTGTCTCTCTGGGGTAAGCCCGACTACGGAGTGAATAGATTATCATATCACCTCGTCTTCGATTCAAACACTCATGCAATGAGTCGAATTATTTCTTAAAAGAAATTTCATAAGCACTTGTCAGGTTTGAACGAGACCACTTCCAGATCTCGCTTTTCTTAAAAGGTTTCAAGATCATGTCTGACTCCCAATGAAAACTAAATGAGATTGTCGGACGCTAACTTGATTATTGTTTGGGTTCATATTTTTCCTCAAGTTGCCATTTCAACTACAATCTAAAGCATTATCTAGGTACATTATATTCTGCATTCATAGTGTCAAAATAATGTTATACTTGACGAATTTACGAAAAAAGAAAAGCAATTTTTGATTAAGCAAGTCATGTTTTCATCTGAAGAATGGTTGTGCAATGTTGACATCCTATTGGCTCCCTGGAGAATACAAATCATAGAAAAAGTTTTTTGATACAGCGATCGAAATTAATTTAACTCCTATAAAATAAGAAAGATATGGCTATATCCTAACAAAGGGACATCGATACTTTAAAAGCTTGTCAAGTATTTTTTCGAAGACGATATTTGGATCTACTAAAAATGTCCACCCACGGAAATAGTACACCATTTGTGATATACAGTGTATACATGTATATTAGGGATGGGTATCGTCAAAAATTTCGTATCGTGATATATCACGATTTTTTCCCCAAAGTATCACGATAAATCGTGATATTTTTACACACAATTTTTACTACAATTTCAAATGAATGTCCATAATATTTCTTTAAAATATGCAATAAAAACATAACTTTACTTTTTAAATTTTTTTTTATTTAATATAAAGCATGTTTGGATGCCGTTGTTTAACCGTTTTCAACATTTTTTACACTTCCTGTAATGTCTTTCAATAGTTTCAACAAATAAATGAATGATTTCCAGAATTTATAATTATGTATCAAATACCGGTATTTTAATCTCCGTATCACGATACGTATCACGCAATAAAAAATCGCAGTATAGCAGTATACCGATAAAATCGCGCATCCCTAATGTATATCTCATTTTCAATCAGTTTTTAAAACTGTTTCAGAGTTCATAGCCTTTACAGTATATATTTCCTACCGATGAAGTTTGTCAAATGCAAAGGTGATGTCACCTAGAAATTAATTGGAAAAATTCCTTTGCGAGATCGTTAATACTACAGACATTCTAAATTATTCATAAATAGCTAGGAGATATGACGACTGCTAAGACAATGTTTAATACCGATCTACAATTTATTTTATCTATTTATTACTGTATCTATTTTAAAGGCTTTCATGCACACAAGAATCCACTTTCTTTTTTAGCATTGTAGCAAAAACTAAGGTTTTTCTAAACTGTAAGTTGCATAAAGGTTATAATTGTTATTATAAATCTTTAAAATACGTCAAAGATTAATTGAACACGATTCAAAGGTAAACAGTTCAAGTTTAAGATGGAATGAGGTATCATCTGCACTAGCTGCAGATCTGTAGCTCGCTGGTCTGAAAAAAAAATGGGATGGACGGCCAGAGAGCTGCTGTATACCACCCAAAAGTACGCTGTTTCTCGATATATTTCTCCGTTTACTAGTACTTCAAAAATATTAAAAACTGTGTGTTCGTTACATATTCTTTAACTACTTTAATAACAAAACTGCATATACAGGTCATGCACGAAGAGCGTTGGACCGAATTGTCTTGCCACCCAAATGGCAGTATAAATAGGCAAAATTTTCGATGGTTTCAATTTCAAACCCAGGGGGCTATTAACAACAGTCTGGGGATGTTTTGTTTTGGAAGTAGTAAAAGAATATGTTAGGAACACACGGTTAGTAATATTTTGAAATGACAGCTTAAATATACGCAGAAATAAATTGAGAAACAGTGCACTTTTTGTGCGCAATATACACTTTTTTCAGTGGGTGGCATTGTAGCTCTCTCGTCGTCCATTCGAATTCTTTAGACCAGCGAGCTACAGATCTGCAGCTACATCTGCACCAGAAATAGACCCCTCTCAACTTCTGACGCCTCCAGAGCGGAACATGATGTCAATTGTTTTAATTTTTAAATCGACAATCGAATAGATAAGTATCATAATCTCATATCGATCTGTAACGCGAGATAACGTCTATAAACATAGACCTGTAAACTAGAGCGTGTTGACATATAGCCGCACCGTGAAACAGCTGTTTTTTTTTCAGAGAATGACTAGTGGATCCTCCATTTTGCCTATTAAAACAGGTGCGCTTTGACTCTTTTGTTATAAACAGAACATTGGATAATCAAGATACACTTCATTTAACATTGCATATTGTACTATGGATTTGATATTGAATTTATATTCTAATACTCTATAGTCAGTTATAATGCTGAAAAAGTAACAGATCGTTCCTAATTACTTACAGAGTATTGCACTCGATCACAGAGCAAATACACAAAACTTACGCTGATTTTTTTTTATGACGCAAAGAAGCAAAATAAAAGACAATTTTTAATTTGGAATGAATGAGTAAAATAATAATAGTAAAAAAGGTACACCTGTTTATTATCAACATGTTCATCTTCCAATCAAATCAATTCTTGCAGAAGTACACTACTGAGTTTAATTGTGCGATCCATGTAGTATTTAATTAGTGTGATAAAGCCAAGCCGGAGATCAAAGACGTAGTAATAGGCGCATAATGAAAATTCAGGGGAAAATATGAGAGTTTGAATTAAACGATTTATTCGTGGACATATTGTTGCATGTTTGTTAAGATTAGTTTATGCAGCATTTACTTTCTCTGACACCCGAAGGAAGCAGCCCGCTGGGATCTCTCTAGACTTGTCAATCGAACTGCAGAAAAAGGACTTTAAACAAATAATCAGGAAATGGCATTATTTCGTCAGAGTCCAAGTGATTAGGTTTCCAAGAGTTTCAGGATTAGTAATTTCGTTCGCTTTTACAAGGAAACATTTCAATTTGATTCTCCTTTTCTAGGAATCATTTCAATTTGAACTCAATTAACGGATCCTTAAACATCACAAGTACATGTTCCAACAGAAAATACTATTCAAAGATATTTGTATTTGACTCCTCTCTCTCTCTCTATATATATATGTGAATATGTTATTCGGTTATAGAAGATGAGGTACGAAAGCTTTTCAGATGAGATGCGATGGCTTCTTTTAATGCGTTCTGCCTCTTCTCTTCAGTATATATTGATCGTATATTGTCCCTGATTTCTCTTCTCTTTCGAAAAGGAAGGCAGTTCATAATTTTTGACATAAGGCAGTCAAAATAAAACTGCATTAAGTATCATTTGTTATAATAAAGTAGTTCTTTAAGCTAATTATATCTTTCGTTTCAAAAGGCATAATAATAATGTGGAAAAAATGATAAATAGCTACATAATATATTTCTAGTACTTGCAAATTTTCATGCTTGAAAATCCATTTGCATTTTGGTTCACTTCACGGCAAATTTTACGATGTCAGAAAATAATTTCAATAATGATTTGGCTATAAAATAGAGTATACTTCATGAAATTTTAATTAGAAAACAAGATCAAACCTATTTGTTTCCTCAAAATAGATGTTTTAAAACCCATTAACCATATTCTATCTTGCAGAAAAAATCATTTATTTTCAAATTCTGGAAAGATTTTTGACTGGAGGTAAAACTAGTAACTTACCGACTCTGTGGGGATTTTCCATGCACAAAGACAAATGTGATAGAAGGAAAGCAAAAGTCACGACCAAGATCCACATCACTGAATATATACACCGTCCACTGATGTTAAGGGGTGCAACTCGCTAACCTCGGTCATGTTCTCGAATTAAAAAAATGCCGACGCAAGAATATTTCTTTTGTCGAACAGAAAAATCGGGTAAACATACGGTTCCATAGAGTATCCATCGCGTTTTTTAAAAACAACCATCAGAAATAGCATTATCGCTCCACCTGTTTAATTAGACTTCCCTTTTTCCTTCTTAAATTGATTAACAAAGAAGTGAACAAACATTTTTATCAGGTTAGAAATCATAAGCAACTTGGAGTATAATCCCTCTCGCATAAATCCATCGGAGTACTTTGAATCAATCCATACGGAATCAGATTTAACGTACCTCCCTGTGCTGTTGGGAACTTACTAGCTACGTTGCTGTTACACACAATGTTTACCACCATATGTCGTTGAAGTAAATAAGAAAACTTCAAATTCGGTTCGGTGTTGATCGATCGATCAGTATTGAAAAGGTCCGATCAGTTCCGAGATCATTCACAGATATCGGATGTATTAATTATTCCCACTGTAAATGTTTATTTTCCATTTTGCTAATGGGTATTTTCATTTAATATTCATAACCCTGTTATGTGTGTAACCGTAAGGCATGCCTTTGGGGTTTGAAAAAAAAAATCAAATCTGGATTTTTTTTCTTTTGATTAAAAAAAAAAACTGTGAAAACACAGATCTATATTGTTAAAAAAGAATCGAATATGTAACCAATATTCATATATTCCCTAAATATATGAGTTCCAGGGATGAGAGCTGACGGATAAATGTATAATGTTGTTCATATTCGCTAATAATAATCAGGCATTTGCTGAGAAATGTTTACCAATATTCCTGATGGAGATGTTTGCCAGAAGAAAGGGAGCAATTCTTGTTTACTTTGGAATTCAGATAATTACTCTGAAACCAAGTCCAGCCGGAGTTCATATTTACATTTATTTCATTTTTGTAATAAAGTTTCATCACAGGGAAAATATTGAAAATAAAATCCTTTTTTTTTTCTTTAATGGAAAACAAAAATCCAAACATCTCATAGTACCATTCCTCAAGATCTTCGATCTTGTGCAATGTTTAATTCATCCGTTCCGTTGACCTCATTTAGAATTAAAAATTTTTAATTATTGCCTTTTATTTACGGTCTCATTCAATGACTTTGAATATGCAAGTAAAGTTTCTTAAGAAAACAAAAAGAAAGTTGTGCGATACGCCAATTGTGAACACATATATATATGCTCTCGGCAAAGACACAGTGACTAATATTCTTTCTAATTCATTAAAAATAAAAAATAAAAAAGAAATAAAAAAGAAAAAAATATTTTGAATTCTTTTTCTCTCATATCAACTGTGTTTTATAACTCCCGAGCAGTTGTTCCTTTTTTCGTGTTCATAACATGTTATAAAACACCTGTAGTGCGATTCTGATTGGCTGCATGTACATGTACATGTACCTACGACGATTCTAATTGGCTGCATATACATGTACGAGTACCTACGACGATTCTAATTGGCTGCTTTTTCAGGGTCTACTCAAATCAAGTCTATGACGGCAATTTAAAATACAGATACAGAGCATGTTTGTAAACATTTACGATTAATTTTTTTTATTCTTTGAACTTTTCTCTTGTATATTTCATTTCGATAGAACATCGAGGTATATTACGAGGGACGTATATGAGTACAAATTCATATTTGACTTTTGAAAAATCACTTAAGAAATATTTGATATATAAAAATGTTATACTAAAGTTAAAAGTAAGTCATTTAAATGTTCAAACCATTTCATAGAAATCACGAAAATCGTGCCTCGTCGTTTTTTGGAGAAATGAATTTTTTTTCACTTGCCTCTTTGTGTTTCTGTTCTTTTTATTTGTACTAATAAAAAATTAGAAAAAAGTAACAACATAATGAGGCATTTAACCAGAGAATAACCTGCCAAAGAAGTCTGTATGGTGTCTGCAGGGTGTTCCTTTGGAAAGGTTTGTAAAAAATTAAAACAATTCAATTTCAATTTCTATAAAAAAAAAAATGCCAACAAATTAAGAAACAGAAACATAAGAAAATCTTCTATAGGTGGAAACAGCATTCAGTTTTCATGACATGACAATTGCAAGATTGTTCCACAAAACTGGGACAACCGGAAGTGTGGAGGACGGACATGGAGTATGGACAAAAAAAGCACTGGGTGTGTTCTATAGGTGACAAGATAGACAGATTGCCCAATATCATTTTATTTTTGACTGGGAGACCGCTTGTGTTGCAACATCACTGACCACCATAGGTAACTACCAACTTCCTCATTCTGGACCATTATTAATGAACTACTTGACTCATCGATTCATCCATTTCTGTGAGAATAAAAGGTTAATCAAACTTAAATATACCAGGATTCGGTATTGCATGTAGCATTCAGCATGTTCAGGTAGACATTTTGGAATAGTATGTTCATTATCTGGAAGCAGGTTCCACTGCTGACAAATGTTCAGTTACACAAAGATTTACATACTTCCGTTTGACGTGGGGTCCGACTAAATAGAGAACCTTAGAGAACTGTATAGAACCTTAAAGAACTCTAATGATTTTGAATTATTTATTTTACACAAATGAAATCTTTATTTCCTACAAAAAAGAGATATGGGTTTTTTTAAAAATTATTTTGCTCACCCTTTTTTGCTTGAATATCAACGAAATACTAAATAAATTTAAATCTCATGACTTAAACGAACTCCATCCTGATCAAAACAGAACGTGAATTGAATCAAGGTGTATGATTTTATTTAAAAAATAGTTTGGCAAATCTTAAATATGAATAAATATGAATAAAATTCGCAGTAAATACATAGAATAAGTCATATCTAAAGAAAAAACCCAGTGTTTATCCAAGTAATACTTTGTGTGATGATCAAAGTACTAGTATTAAAAAAACAATTAATAAAAATTTAAAAATAGTTAGCGTTCAAATGAGAGACTTTAAATTGTTACGTATAGTAATCAGAACTTTGGAATCCACAATTTCAGATTCACGTAGAATCTCCAAATGTAAATTATTTCACTACAAAAATCATGACAGGGCTCCATTCATACCTCACTTTAGAACTTTTTAAATTCCCCCGAGCATATTTTTAAAGAAGAAGGTACGGTGTTAGCTTTATTGTGCCCTAAAAATATATGTTTTCAAAAAAGTTTTGTTGAGTATATGAATGTGATAAATCAGGAAAGAATATGACATGAAGGAGTACCATTCTGGAAATATGACGTCATTAATTTGATGCATTTCTCTATTTCAAACAGAAAAAGTCTCAAAATGTCCCATTCCAAGGGTATTTGCCTTAAGAAAATAGTGTCCACAGCCGTCGCCCATTTTAATTTTTGGATATGTTGTGTAAAATTCTTTGAAAAATAATCACATATCTCAAAACCTTTGTGGGCGATGCCTGTGGACAATATTATCTGAAAGAAAATTCCATTGAAAATTGGTGTCTTCTGCAACTTTTAAAGAAAATACGGGAAAATGCACAAGTTTATGACGTCTCAATTAGCATTTAGAAGGCTATGTTTGAAAAATGATTTGTATGATCTTTCTGCATGGAATTTCAATGATTCAGAAAGCATGAGTTTTAATTTTTACATCACTTTCATTTTTAAGAAAAACACAGGGCAAGATTTGTATTGAAACCGTACCTTGTTCTTTAAAAAGAGGGCGCTCATTCGGTAACTTTAAAAAGCTCTAAATACTGCCCATGGAAGAATTCAGCTTCCATGGTAGTTTCATTTATAGGTAGAGTGATCTGCTCTTAAGTATAAATAGAACGAACTACAGTAAATTAGATGTTGATAATAATTCAATCCCATATATTTTTGAAATTTAAATCGCTAAAAAGAAATGTTTAGGATAAATTAAATCTCTAATTTTGCCGGTGACTAAAATAATCCGTTATACATTATTAAACCAAAGTACTAGTAATTGAAAACACCATTTGCATGTGTTTTTCCAATGTAAATGTAGGTAAACCATTGTGAATTCTTTTTTATCACTGCTTTATTGTTTTAGAACATTTTTTACTTGAGAAGTATTTCAGGTACCCTATGTTGAATATGAGCTAGAATAGAAAACTTAAATATGATAAATATTTTTAAAGACCAAAAACATTTTCCTTTAGTGTTTAGAGCTCCCTTAATACTACTGATTTAAGCATATTTTTCTTTAATTTCAGACACTTGAAAAAATGAAAGATCCTATTTACCCCAATCATAATCTTAAACGTAAGTGTACAGATCCTGAAACATTTTAAATAATTTACGCTTTGTTTCAAAGAGAACTTCAAGAGGTTTAAGTGTAATCAACAAACCACTTTAATGTTTAAAGATGCTACTTAGATGTTCACATATTTAATCATTTCTAGGATATTCAAACTATGGTTCCTTTACAAGAATCTAGCATGGATGCTTCGTCGGAGAAAATCGTTTTAAGCAACAAAGATATCATGCAAAGAACACATTACGGATTAGCTCACAAGTCAACGACATAAATTCTGATTGATCGCCTCTGTTCATAGTGAAAATGAGTGGCAAATCCGAGAGCAGACTCTGTAAATGAGTTGTAAAATATTTACTGACCAGAAAATTGACTACATTATAAAAATATGCCGTTCATTACAAAATAGATCTGGAAAATGTCTTGATTTCCAGTCTAATCGCAAGCAATGTCTAGAGTGTACTGGAAGTACCCTGTGCGTGAGTCAGTTTGTCTCTTCGTCCAAGTCATTATCCAACCACCTTTTTTTTTAAATAGAGAAACTTTAAGCTAATACTTGATACGACAGTTGGTTATGGTCTTAGGAGGTGCCAGGATTATAAGCTAGGGTCATTCTGACAAAGTTAGGAACTCAAAAGTATAAAATTCTTACCAGGACTAGAATATGATAATGCAGAAATTGTAGAAAATCACTTAAATTGTGAATCTCACATTGTGGTAATATGCAACACGAATAACAGGAGAAAGCAAATTGTATCTCGAGAACAACAAAAATCAAAAGTTACCCTCCATGCTCATCTTTCACAGGACGGTCTCTCAACAGATATGCAGTCGTTTCGATTGATGTTCGAAAAAGTTTCCCCTAAAAAAGTTAAATAAAGGATTCATTACTTTGATTAATTTACACTGCAGCCGTACAAAGAGAGACGACAATATCAATATAGAGCAAAACTGCATGCAATGGATGTTTTCTTAGTCAAATCCATAAAAAAATTTTTTATCGAATATATTATATATCAGCATCTGATCCTTAACAGGGATTACGAATTCCAAACAAATGTGAGCTCATGCAAGCGCATTT